TTACTGTGCCTTGGTGGCTTCGACTCACCCAGGGGTGACCCAGGTGCGCCCGAGCAGCCCGCGTGTGCACCACCGGAGCATCCTGTATAATGCCCCCCTCCTCCTTCTCATGCCTGCTCCCCCTGCCTCCTCCTCCTCCTCCTCGTCCTCGTCCTCGTCCTCCTCCTTCTCCTCCTCCTCCTCCTCCTCCTCCTCCTCCCTCCAAGCGCTGCTGTTTTGGAGCGAGTCTCTGCGCCTGTGAAAAGGCCACACATTCACATGTTCGGCATTGTACTCTCCGTTTTGTGTGGTTGCTGGCTAGCAGCATGATATACACATGTGCGGTTCGGTCTTTCAGCTGTCTCTCTATATGGACCGCATGTGAGAGTGGAAGAACTAGTGACATCATCCCTGACTTTCGGCATGATTGGATTGCAAGGCACATGCACGGAAGCCTGCATGAACGAGGATCACCGTTCGACGCGCATTTTGGGCAGAATTGCATTCATAGCATGACGGAAGCAAGCGAAGTTCAGCAACACAAGTGCAGGACTCATTTTCGTACTTTCAAGTCGGTGGCCGCAGACATGTATTCGCAGAATCGACACGCCGCCGAAGATTATGCAGGGAGGACGATTGGGAGTGTATTTCAGATTCCACGGAACTTCTTACTATGCTGACAGTGTGTTATCCACACAAGCCGTCGGACAGGATAAGTATCCCAGAATATTTTTCATTTTGCTGGGCGTCCGAACGTATCCGACGGGCCCCACATTCGGCGATGAAGTTCATTATGACTGATGTAAACGATGGGATGCGTATTTCCCAAGCGGGTGGGCACTGGACGGATGTTGGAAAGAAGGCGATCGGTAGAGGAGTAACGCAGGAACGTCGCCTTCGTGGCGCAGGTCACAGGCTTCGTGAGTTGATGAGGAGCACGTCTTGCATTCGACTACAGCGGGGGATAGAGTGGCCGAGACGTTCTTTTACGTGAATGGGAGCAACATGGTGTACCACGTGCTTCTACCTCTGACAGTCGCAGCAAGAATGAGCAACTTTGGACAGTTGAGGAAACTGGGCGCGCAGTTGCAATGCATGCCAGCCGCCGTCCACGGGGATCATTTGCCCGTTCATATGAGAATCGATCCCGACTTTCCATCGGAGGTGGAGGCGGTGAGGAGAGTGCGGGGCGCCGAATGGAGACGCATATGAGAAAGTTGCGTGGGATACGGATCGCCTCGTGGACTCGCTGGTAGGATCAAAGGGGCATACATATTCAATTTCTTGAAAGCGTTTGAAGATCTTCTGGACATGATGAATATTGAATGCATGGGCGATCGTGTATTTGAGCAGCTGCGGTATCACTTGGATGCGACTATGAGGGAGGGGGGCTATTTTTCTCGAGAGGACCTCGGCATCTCCGTGCGACGAAGACAGAGAGGAACGATTTATATTGCTTGAAAGCAGAAGCGGGTATCGAGAGAAATTGCATGGGTGCTACAGTTCGGAGTTGAGCGATTGTATGCTGCTCCTGGGAGAAATGGCGCGTATATGTGCGATGCAGAAAGCGTCCGAACGGAGAAATGATGCCATAGTTGAGGAGATGCGCGATGCCCTAGTGGCGGCGGTGCGTCGCCTGAGTTTTGAGACGCGCCAGAGGCAGGTTCGCGGGTGGCAAGAGAGATTTTCTAGATTGCAGGGTGCGCTGCCAACTGAAGAAGAAGGGATTGAACCATGGGCTCAGCTCGGGGGGGGGGGGGCGGGCCAGAGGCGTCGAAGTTGGAGTGGGGGGGGGCCATTGGCCGGGGGGTTTTGTTCGAGCGACCGCCGCCTCCGCCCGTGTGCGCTGCCGACAGACTGCAGCGAAGTCTCCCGGGTGCGCCTGGCGATCTGGCCTCGCCGCGGACTGCCTTGAGGAGAGCTTCGAAGCGCGAGGGGGCCCCGGGGTGGGCCCGGCTGGTGGGGTCGGGGGTCCGCCGGGGGGCCCCGCTTGAGGGGGCCGAGGATTTGCGGCGAAACAATAGAAAGTCTTGGCGATTTATTCCATATCGGACCGAGAGTGCAGTTGCCCGTCTTGTGGAACTGAAGCCAGGGGTGCGCGCTCCAGGGAAGTGCCGTGCTGGGGCCAGCAGGTCGGAGAGTTGTGCGTGGCTTCGACCCGTTGGGCAAAGCTTTTCTGTCCAGAGTCATGAGGCGAGGTCCCGAGTATAAGCTCTCTGAGATGGATCGTGGTTTCTTGCGCGAGAGACGTCGAGGGGTGGGCGCGATTGTGGCGAACATGTGTTTCGTGGCGTCTGAAAAAGGCTGGCATTTTTTGATTAATTCGTTTGGGGGCTTAAGCAATGCCTCTTGCGTCTCTAAGCTGGCGCGCCCTCGGCGAGGCCGCGTGTGGGGAGGCAGGGGGATCGGAGATTCGTTCCTGCAGGCAGAGGCGCAGCCTGGCTTGCGCGGCCCCCCCCGCGGACAGCGGGGGCCTGTTATTGCTTGCTGAGAGCGCGCCGCGCGCCAGGGGGGCCCTGTCGCGGCTTCGTCTTTCGCGGTTGTTTTGGGCCCCGACGGGCCGTTTGATCTCTGCGTGTCGCGAGGGAGGTTCCCCGGAGGAGCTGCTAGAGGCCGAGTGCGCGGTTTAACCCTTGGCCCGAAAGTCGACCTGGGGCTGACCAAGTTGGCGGATGATTTTTCAGGTTGATTCCTGGACCAAGATCTTCGATGGGCCCAACGAGAAAGGCTGCGGCCAGTAATGGCGTTCTACTCGTGGGCGCACGGTCCAAGTCCCGAGCGGGTTTTGCCCGAATGCATTTTTTAGTGACTTGGCGCTGGTTTCGCCCGTGGATATAGCGATATTCAGAGGAGATGTTCGCGTGGTGTGACGTGCGTCCTGTCTGGATAAGCATGTGCGTTGTTCGTGGTGAAGTGTTGCAGTGTTTTGCTAGCCGTCGTTCTCTAGGGTCGGTCGTGGTCGATCGCTTCTTGCGATTGACGTGGAGCGTTGATGCTTTGCAGGACGATGGCTTGGTGGGGTCTGGATGGATGGCTCATGTGATGTTTTCCGGGGCCGCGAGAGTGTTGTGGTCATTGCTTGGCCGGCTGTTTTCGGGGGAGCGTAAGACCCGGGTTTGCCAGGACTCGGGTTCGCCATCGTTTTTTGACGACCGCGCCTCGGATTTTGACGAGGAGGAGTTTCGTGGGATGTCTGCAGCGGGAGGCCTCGTCAAAATGCAGGCTCGGCCTCGTCATTTTTTTGACGACCTCGTCGAGTATTTCCGAGTCCCCTGTACCCAGGTCTTACGTCCCCCTGATGTTTGCGGGGCCTTGACTTCGCGTCTAGTTGGGCCGTTCCATGCCTTGCGCACTTGCGCGCGTGGGGCGCCTGCCATTCCCGCGGCAAGTGGCGAACCGGGCGCATCTGGCGAGCCTGGCGCTGCCGGAGCAGCACCTGGCGTACTTCGCGCAGTTGGTGTATCCGGCGCGCTCGGTGCTCAGGCACTTCTCGTGCCCCGCGCGCCGAAGCGTTTTTGCGCGGCCCCCAATCGCGAGGCACCTTGAACGCGCGTCGCGGGCGAGGTGTAGGAGAAGGAGGAAGGGGAATGGATGCGGACTAGAACAGCGACGATCATATATGCGTTGCCAGGAGGGGAGGGTCACGAGGGCGAGGAGGGGCACTCGGAGGAGGAGACGGAGGACAAGTTCGGGGGGGGGGAGACGATGGATTCGCGGGGGGGCCAGGGCAGGAATTGTTCGGGGCGGGGGGGCGGGGGGGGGGGGGGGGGGGGGGCGGGCCGCCGCCGTCGTCGTCGCCGTTTGTCTAATTCCGTTCACAGAGATTCTGCTCACATCTGACCATGGGAAGGGGAGGGAAAACGATGGGGGGAAGAGCGCGCAGGAACGGGGGCGGGGAGGGGGGGGGAGGGGCGGGAACGGGGGGGGCAGAGGTAACGGGCAGGGGAGATGTCGGAAGGGTGGGTCGGGCCGTAACTTGTTTCCACCTCGCGCCTGCCGTTGCTGCTGCGGCTGCCCTTTCTTCTTCCCTGCTTGTGGCGTCTCCACATCTCGGTCCTCTCCCTGCTGCTCCTCGCCCCTTTCTTGCTGCTGCCAGTGCCCCTCCTCGACTTTATGGGAAGCCCTGCTGCGGCTGCGCTGCCTGCGCCCGCCGCGTGAGGCGACGCGCGCGCGCCTCTGGCCCGCGCGGCGGGTCTGCCGACGTGGGCTGTGTCTCAGGGGCTTCAGGGTTCCAGGTTACAGGGCCCCACATGGCCCCAGGGTACCTCTGTGGCCTCAGGGTGTCTTGTGTCGGGGCCTACAGCGGCCCATGAGTTAGATCGGCTCAGCGCGGCGCACGATTCGGTAAAAGGCGGAGGGGTGGAGATGTCGGGAGAGGGCCAGGCGGCAGGGGGGAAGCAATGAGGGGGCAGAAACCGGTGCTTCAGCAAGTCCACGGGGCCGTCGTGGGCCCCGCGGGCGCTGTTCGGGCCACCCGTGATCTTTCGCGGGCTTCTCAAAAGATCATTCCGGACGTGATCGGGGCCTTTTCCAGGCCTCGGAAAA